TAATCCGCTAGCCACCCGATAAGATATTAGGCGGATCGGTATCGGACTAGCGATTATCGGGCAGTTTATCGGCTAAATTAAATAGACAATAAAATTACATAAGTAAGCAAGACAGTAAACAATAGATAGACGATCAAATCACAATCACACTCCAGTACACTAATGAAGCTCTCATTGTTAATGACAGTTTCTTCTTCTTTAATTCTTTTACCATAAGCAAGCTAAAATACAAATTGGGGATGCTTAACTAATACTCGAAGTTGAGTTATCATAAATAATGGTTATACTTTTGCTTCAGTTACCAAGTTAAATGATTTATTTGAGCAGAAAGACATCAAGAACTATCCAGATTTGCCTAGTCCTACCCCAAAAACAAGTTATGATGACGTTAAAGCTCAAGTTGCTAATAAGTTGCTTTATAATGGGTAAAAATATAAATATAATAATTCTTAACAGGTTAGCGGGTTAACAGTTTATCCAATAAGGAAATTGAGGAATTTGCCCCCAAGCCAATAAACCATTAAATATAAAATTGCAATCCGTTCACCAACCATTAATCCGATAATCCGATACTAGTGAGCCACTAAGCCACTTTTACGGTTCGGTTTTGAACAACCCTTACCCATCACTCCGAATACACAAAAATTAACTATATCATTGTGTAACCAAACACAACTTTCTTGGTCTCCAACAATTAATATCATAAACCTAACAAGTTTATTCAACACAACTTTCTTTTATTTTGTTTTTTCCGGGGGGTGTTTGTTCAAGGAGACTACATGGTTAAGAAAAGACATCTTATAAACCCAAAAGAAAAGGCATATAAGTGGTCTTAAACCTACTGAAACATGCAAACATCATATTCATCTAGAAGAAAAACAAAAATTGCATTTTCATTACGGTATTATAGAACGACAATTACTTAAATACGTCTGTACTGCCAGAAAAGCCAAGGGGTTAACTGGTCAAATTTTACTACAATTATTTGAAATGTGTTTGGATAACATCCTTTCTTGATTGGGCATGGCTTCAACACTTCCCACAACCCGTCAATTAATTAACCATCGACATATTTTAGTTATATCCGCGTTGCAGTTAATTTAATGCACTATATATGTATATACATGTGTGCGTGGTGAGTGTATATACACATAAATGTTGATATACAACGTTATCATTAGGAAAAAGCAATACAACAAAAGCAGAATTGTAAAAAGAAGTTTCATAGCTCCGGATCATGCTCAGATTACTCAGTAGAGTCAGGACACCGGAAATTGAGCATATCAGATTTTCATTAATGCTTTTCCAGCCTATAAGCCCACTGATATCCATCCTTTTCCTCGCCATATGACACTGGAAACTTCCAATGCCATTAAGAATCATAGAATCCTTAAGCCCTAAAATTCTGTTACCCTGATCAACACCCCAAATCTGTGCTAATTTGAATCATACAACCCATCCCAAAGTTGACAGCAAAGCATTAAGCAACAGACAAACAACAAATGGAAGGGCTCACTATATTCAATAGAATAAAGGATAAGAAAAGAATTGCGCTGAGAGAAAGAGGGAATTAAGGTCCAATATTTGGACTGGCAGAATAACTGTTTTAAGGTGTAATGTTCTTTTAATCTTCTCCACCGACCAGAATTATTCAGCTAACCATTAACTATCAAGACCTCTATGCATCATAACAGAACTCAGTCATCACAAAGTCAGAGTTGAATGTAATATACTAGTAAGTAAGAAGTAGAATCGAACCCCAACTGTGTTTTTTTATTGAATTCAATCGAGAAATTCTACAACTAAATGAAATTGAATTGCAACAATCGAATAAAATGCTTATTGAGCTTGTTGATCAGCTGTAATGGTGGGTGAAAACCTGAAAGAGAAATTAGGAATTTAGAAAGAGGAAGAAGAATGACAGAAATGGAAAATGAAGAGAGAGAGAGAGAAGAGAGAGGGTGAGAATTCGGTTAAAAAAAAATACCGGCTCCAAGATATTTAGTGGACTGCCCAACTAACTATTTAGTTGGACTGTTCTTTAGTCTCAGCCCTCCGATCAACCCATCTACCTTGTAATCTCTGCCGTTCATTTTATTATATCAGCTACAATTCCTAATCTCCACCTGTACTTATCCAACGCTCCTCCTCCTGCCACGTGTCCTTTATTACTTATACTCTTCTTTCCTAATTCATAACCCTATTTCCATTCTTCGTTCTTTCCTAATTCATACCCTATTTCCAATTTCAGCTGATGACCAACTCCAAACCTTACAATACCTCCCCGATCAACACTGACCTTGTCCTCAAGGTCAAGATTGAGCGATAAAGTCAGGAAATTGGCTCTTGATATAGCCCCAGTCTTCCCACGTTGCCTCATCTGGCCCCAAATTAGCCCACTGTACCAAAACTTTCACTTGAGCTGCATTATTAACCTTGACGATACGACGGTCTAAAATAGCAACTGATTGTACTAGAACTCGACCACTGTCATCACAGCTAGGAGGTTGCTGCTGAGGTGCAATAGAAGGTCCCACCCTCTTCTTCAGTTGAGAGACATGAAAGACTGGATGGATTTGTGAGCTTGACGGCAACTCCAAACGATAAGCCACTGACCCAATCTTTTGTAGCACTTTGTATGGCCCATAGTATTTGGCACTCAATTTAAGATTTCTCCGCACTGCTACTGATGATTGTCTATAGGGTTGTAATTTCAAATAAACAAAGTCTCTCACCTCTAAAACTCTGTCAGACCTGTTCCTATTTGCATAGAATTTCATCCTGGCTTGGGCCTGGACTAAGTTTTCCTTAAGAATCGTCAACATTTGTTGCCTTTGAGCCAAGTAAGAGTCCACAGGTTGTGTAGAATGTGGTAATGATCCCAGTGGAACCTGTGGGGGTGGAAATCCATATAGTGCCTGGAATGGTGTAGATTTGAGTGAGTTGTGGTAGTTGGTGTTGTACCACCACTCTGCTAAGGGTAACCACTTGAACCATTTCTTAGGGCATGCAAAAACCATAGACCTCAGATAAGTTTCCAAGCATCTATTAAGTCGTTCAGTTTGACCATCTGACTGAGGGTGATAAGCCGTAGACATTTTAAGCTTGGTTCCCATTGACTTGAAGAGCTGCTGCCAGAATTGGCTAGTGAATATTGCATCCCTATCAGTCACAATTGACTTAGGAAGCCCATGCAGCCTATAGATGTCCTGTAAGAATAACTCGACTACCTCCTTAGCTGAAAAAGGGTGCTTTAATGCTAGGAAGTGTCCATATTTGGTCAGTCTATCGATGACTACTAATACCACATTCTTGTGCTCAGAAGAAGGTAAACCTTCTATAAAATCCATGGAGATATCCTGCCATGGCATTTCTGGGATGGGAAGAGGCTGTAGTAATCCTGGAGAGTGTACATTTTTATTTTTTACTCTTTGACATGTATCACACTCAGCCACCCATTTAGAGATGTCAGTCTTCATGTTAGGCCAATAAAAGCCCATCTTGATCCTCTTATAAGTTCCCAATTGCCCAGAATGCCCCCCAATAGGAGACTTATGAAGGGTTTCAAAGATCTTAGTTCTTAGACAAGCTCCCCTCCCTATCCATACTTTTTGGTCATGTCTGATAATGCCCTGCTGAAGGGTGTAATCAGATTTGCCTGAAGGATCTGTTATTAGCTCAAGCAACAATTGTTGAGCCACAGGATCATGGTCATAACTCTGAATTACCTCCTGCATCCAGGTGGGTTCAGAACTAGTAATGGCACATAATATATGTTCTTCTTCTTCTCTTCTTGAAAGGGCATCAGCAACTCTGTTTTCAGTACCTTTCTTGTACTGAACTTCATAGTCCAGTCCAAGGAATTTGGTGAGGCCTTTTTGCTGAAGGGCAGTGGTAATCTTTTGCTCTAGTAAGTACTTAAGACTTTGATGATCCGTCCTGATTATAAAGTGACCCCCCATCAAATAGTGTCTCCATCTATCTACTGTTGTTAGTACAGCTAGATATTCTTTTTCATAGGTTGACAATCCCCTGTTGTTCTGAGATAATGCTTTACTGAAATATGCCAAGGGTCTGCCTTCCTGTAATAAGACTGCTCCCATCCCTGTGGAGCAAGCATCAGTCTCCACAATGAATGGTTTGGTGAAGTCAGCTAGGGCCAAAACTGGGGCTGATGACATGGCTGACTTAAGTTGCTGAAAGGCTATCTCTGCTTCCTCTGACCACTGGAAGGAGTTCTTCTTAAGAAGATTGGTCAGGGGTCTGCTGATAACCCCATAAGAATTGACAAACCTCCTATAATAACCTGTGAGCCCTAAGAAACCCCTTAAGTGTTTGATAGTTTTTGGTCTAGGCCAGTTAACCATAGCCTCAATTTTTGAAGGATCAGTAGCTACCCCTTCCCCTGAAATGATGTGACCCAAATATTCCGCCTTATTCTGTCCAAATGAACACTTAGATAGCTTAGCATAAAGTTTCTCCTTCCTCAAAATTTCTAAAACTTTTCTGAGGTGTAATATGTGGATGTGGTTGTTGGGGCTGTATACTAGAATGTCATCAAGGAAAACCAGTACAAATTTTCTGAGAAAGGGTTGAAAAATGTGGTTCATGAGGCTCTGAAAGGTTGCAGGGGCATTAGTCAAGCCAAAAGGCATGACTCTAAACTCATAGTGTCCCAAATATGTCCTAAAAGCAGTTTTGTATATGTCTTTATCACCCATTCTGATTTGGTGATAGCCAGCTCTAAGGTTAATTTTAGTATAGATACAAGAACCACTTAATTCATCCATTAAGTCATCTACCAATGGAATGAAAAATTTATCCTTCACTGTCAGTTTATTAAGTTCCCTGTAATCTATACAGAATCTCCAACTACCATCTTTCTTTTTGACCAATAATACTGGAGAAGAGAAGGGGGAGTGACTTGGTTGTATCATTCCACTAGTCAACATTTCATTAACTTGTTTTTCAATTTCATTCTTCTGAAAATAGTTATACCTCTAGGGTCTCCGGCTGACTGGGTTTGCATTACTTTTCAGGGGAATGTGATGATCATGGCCTCTTTTTGGTGGTAAGGATGTGGGCTCATCAAAGACATCTTTGAAGTCTGCAAGTACTTCAACAATTTCTGCAGGTATTTCTTCTGTCATTGGTATTTTCTGGGCTGAGAGTGTGAAGAGATGTGCCCAAATAGCCTGCCCTTTCTTCAATAGTTGTCTCACTCCCACTGCTGTCATACTTTTCAATTCTCCTTTACTGTAGATGCCCTTAAGCTCCACTCTCTTCCCTTTATGTGTCACCTGGACCTTGTACTCAATGAAATCCAAGAGTACAGGGTTATGTCCCTTCATCCAGTCACCACCCAATATCATATCATTTCCCCCCAATCTAACAAGCCTCACAGCATCCTCAAACTCCACCCCTTGTATCTTCCATTTGAATCTAGGACAAGAATGTAGGCTTGTAATATGGTTCCCATTTGCTACAGTCACTCTCATAGGGACTGCCTCAATAATTTGGCACCCTATCCTCCTAGCAGTCTCCAGATCCAAGAAGCTATGGGTGCTCCCCGAATCTAACAAAATAGTAATCTTGTTCCTTTTTGCCTCTCCTCCCAACTTGATGGTATTTGGGACTTCAGTACCTGAAAGTGCATTCAGACTAATTGCTTCATCCATAATTTCTTCCCCTGGCATCTCCTCCAATTCCTTAACATCACCTTCTATCCCTTCACTCTGCTCCAATTCAGTTGGATCAATTGAAGCAGACATAGTATTCAGCTGTTTAGTTTTGCATTGATGCCCAACATGATATTTTTCACCACACTTATAACATAGCCCTTGAGCTTTCCTCAATTCAAGGAGCTTGTTACCCTGGCCTCCCACTGAAGAGTTAGCTCCCTTAACCATTACCCCATTAGTTTGATTATACCCTGTAATATTACTTCTTCCCCACTGACTTCTCTCCTTCCTATTCTGTACTTGGATTAGCCTCTCCTGATATCGAGCCTTATCCACAGCCTGACTTAGGGTGAAAGGGTTAAGCATCTTAATTGTGTGCCTTATTTCTTCCTTGAGACCTTCCACAAAGAATTCTAGGAAGAAATCTTCTGGAATGGTGGGATTCCTTATCAACACCCAGGCCTTCAAATCTTCAAACCTTTCCAAATATTCATCTACTGTTCCTTTTTGTTCCACCTTTTTAAATTCTCCAATTAAGTTGAATTTACTATTACTAGCTCCTTCAAATCTTTTGCAGATTTCTTCAGTAAACTCATGCCATTTGATTACACCTTTACTAACATGATATGAGAAAAACCATGCCTCAGCTTTACCTGTTAAGTGCAGGACAGCTACTTCCAACTTCTCATCAGGGTCAAGGATTCGATTGTAGTGGAAGTATCTCTCCCCTTTCCTTAGCCACGAGCAGGGATCAACTCCATCAAAAAATGGGAACTCAAACCGACCATGGTGATTGCTCCTTTGGAATCTAGCTTGCTCGAATTGGTCATTCTTGTGCAGTCTACTTCCAGAAGCATCTAATTGAAGACCCGGCGCACTTCCCAGAATTCCCTCTTGATTGGGAATCAGTTTCTCCATTAGAAGATCCATCTTCTTGGCCAAACCCTCCAATCTAGCATCATTAGTCTCCATGTAATTCTGCAGTTGCATGTCTAATTTCTTAACTGATTCTTCTGTACTTTTCGATCTTGTTTCTGTAATCGTCATTGGGCCAGGAATTTGCTTTGATACCAAGTTGTAATATACTAGTAAGTAAGAAGTAGAATCGAACCCCAACTGTGTTTTTTTTATTGAATTCAATCGAGAAATTCTACAACTAAATGAAATTGAATTGCAACAATCGAATAAAATGCATATTGAGCTTGTTGATCAGCTGTAATGGTGGGTGAAACCCTGAAAGAGAAATTAGGAATTTAGAAAGAGGAAGAAGAATGACAGAAATGGAAAATGAAGAGAGAGAGAGAAGAGAGAGGGTGAGAATTCGGTTAAGAAAAATACCGGCTCCAAGATATTTAGTGGACTGCCCAACTAACTATTTAGTTGGACTGTTCTTTAGTCTCAGCCCTCCGATCAACCCATCTCCCTTGTAATCTCTGCCGTTCATTTTATTATATCAGCTACAATTCCTAATCTCCACCTGTACTTATCCAACGCTCCTCCTCTTGCCACGTGTCCTTTATTACTTATACTCTTCTTTCCTAATTCATAACCCTATTTCCATTCTTCGTTCTTTCCTAATTCATACCCTATTTCCAATTTCAGCTGATGACCAACTCCAAACCTTACATTGAAGCCTCCCATATGAAGTTGGAAGAAAGATCACACATAATATCCCTACTTTTAATAAGCATTCTTGAGAAAGAAGTGGAACATTCAAATTTGCTTCAACATAAACTTTTACTTTGAAAATATTTAAGTTGAGGATGTAAGAGAGAGAGAGCTTCTTGTGGTGCAACATATAGGAAGGAACGTAATACCCCAGAATTTTGAGAGTGAACTTTTAAGTTACTTCTTTAATTATAATTTCTTATTAAAAATTCTTGTAAGGACAATAATAATAATAATAATTTAATTATCACGTGGGTGCATAAATGTATATATTACTTTGGAAGTAATATTTAGGAATTAAGAGATATAAAGGATGTGAATTGAAATACTATATAAGGGGCTAGTAGCTAATTTATCAACTTTACTTATATGGTTGACTTTGGTTAGAGCCATTAAATGAAAAAGCATGAGCCAAGCCCATTCTCTTGTTCTGGTTGCTGCCACGTTATAGTTGTTTAGGGAGTAGAAAATTAGGTTAATTGATTTCTTTGGATTTTGGAAGAAAAGAAGCCAACTCATAGAGGAGTTTTGGGGAGTTCGCTGGCGACGTTAGGGAGCTAGGGCAGTGAAGATTTCATAGCTTCAGGTACTGAAATTTCTATACATATAGAGAGATCAAAGTCTCTCTCTCTATATATATAACAAAAGCTGACATAACCCACTAAAAAGCAGAGGGTATAATAGTCAAGCAGGAAAATATTTATGAAGGGGCTACAGCAAAATTCTTTTTCAGCCAATCAAATTCTTCAATTGACTCAAAGCTCTTACACGAAATCTTCTGTTAAAGCACAAAATAGGCTGAAATGACAAAAGTATCCTCAGGTTAAACTTTAAATCCAAAGAAGCACTGACGGAGAGGTGCCTGTATTCCCTCTTATTAAGAAGTAAGATATATATAGTATTTGATCAAAGAAGTAAAATGATGCCAATATTGAATCAATGATATGATGATGAGTAGGAAACATAAGGATCAGGCCAATGATTGTGGGAAAATATATCAGCAATGATAATGAGTCAATGGAATTTGACATAAAATATTAAAGCTAATCTGCTTAGGAAAAATGCAGTTTCGATTTTTGTTCTTTTAATTGAGGAGAAATAATGATTACCCAATGATATGAGTAACAATGTGGGGAGTAACGATTAACTAATGATATGGGTTCTAATGATGAGGTGATGATTGATAGCTTGTAATGATAAGATACTAGATTGCGAATTTGAAAACGAGGTCTCTCTTATTTTACACTGCTACATTTATGAATTTCTATTACTAAGTACATTGGAATATAGGAATCATCATGATGCCATGATTAAAGGAATGACAACGGCGTGGTATGAGCAAAGCCACCGTTTCGGCATTTTGTTCACCGCTAAAGTGACTAGTTTGCATTTATTTGTGTATAGAATTCTACTAATTTGAGTGAGTGTTGACTTTGATTTTAACCTGTCCTAAAATTATGGAAATTGTTCACCTACACTAATTAGGACGTATTATTCAAGATTTTGGATAGATTGAGGCCACTGGAGGCTGTTTGATTGGTGTTCTAGACGTCGCTATGTTGGGGAACTTCCCGTTAGCGAGATAAGTGAGACTATAAGATTTGGTGCTTGCTTTTCAAATCTATTTTAAAAGTTGGTTTTGTTTGTTTGGTCCATGTGTTGGGGAAAGCGTGTGCTTCACAGAATCGGTAGTGTTTGAGACCAGCCGAACGTATTTTATTTTCAAATACACAAAAACTCTCTTTATATATTGTTTCGTGGTGTGATACGGTTGTGCGCCATGAGGTTGAGACATTTTATATGCTTCTTTATTTCACTCGGGTATTGTGTATGCTTCATGGGGCATTGTGCATACTTCTTGACATCATTATGCTACCATAGACTCGTAGAGGTGTAGATTAATTTCTTTCACTGTTGTTTTTCACAAGTGTTTAGTGTAAATTGTATTGAGATATATAGTATTCCAGTTGAACATTTGTTTGGACCTTATTGGATATTATATTATGATATAATTCCTGTACATATTATTTTTTTGCTCGTTGTGGGTTTGTATTTTCTAACACTTGTTTCAGGGGCATCTAAAGTGGCAGGTCGAGAATCTTGGAGAACGAGACTAGTGGCTGGCGAGTTCGTTCGAGTGGATCCTATTGCTAAGGTGAGCCACAACATCGTTTGTAAAGGCCTTCATTTCAGCTTTATCTAGTATATGTCAATTATTTTATTTGTTTTTGGGGTTTGCATGTGTAAAACTCATGTTACTCTATTTGATGCTCCATGGTCTTAGCGTAGGATTTGGGCTAGAGATTTATTATTCGAGCGATCGTTGGATTTCATAAGCTAATGATTTTAGTTGGATAATTATTTCATATTTTTTATTATTATTATTATTATTATTATTGTGTTTGGACCTGCACTTATTCTCTCTCAGTGCTTATGTAAGTGGTTAAATGTATGTGCAACTGGTTCGTCGGGTAGGTAGTGGTAGCCGGATGCCAACCACGTCTAGGAAATAGTTTGGGACGTGACAGCATACGACTATGTCTTATCATGAACACTATAACTCCATGCAACAAAGGGGAGAGGGTGTGGAGGAACTCATTAACTACACATTTTGAGAGTATCAGAATGTAACACTTACCTTCCATGTTTGCTCGTGTGAAGCTTGTACAGATATAGATTCCTTCCTCAATAATAGACCACACAGCATCCGGAAGAGGGGACCTTCATATGATCATAAACAATATCAACAGCAAGTACAGAAAATGAACAAGGGAAGACCAACATGTCCTAGAATTGAGACAGTTTCACACTGTACAGGACAAACACCAAATACCGCTGACAGCAATGCATTTGCTGTCAACACAGATTAACGACATTAAGGAAGTCATCTGACATGATAGTAGAATATTATCAAACTACATTACCTGTGGCATCTTGTTGGTTGAATTGCTATAAATAGGTGTTGAAGACATAAGTAAGAAAATAAAAGTGTTTTCTATAATAGTATAACTTTTTAGATGAGATGGTTAAAAACTCCAACATAGTATAAGAGCCAGAGGTCCTGCTCTAACCTCGCTGTCACCCATTATCAACAAGAATTTTTACGTGCTTGGCCCGTAAAAAAGGCCGCACGTGAAAGAGCAAAGACATAATTAAAAATATAAAACTATGCTCCCTCTAACAGCTTAATATTCAATGAGATGTCAGTTGGTTATCAATAAGCTATATCACTGAGACTTCTAGTTGTATAATATCCTCTAGGGTTGAACATTGTGGAGCACACAACTCGATGTAATCAGCATACACGTATTCAAAACCCCAGCTTTATATAAAACAACTGGACCCATAGATAACATCTACTTTCATCTTCTTCTTTTTTACTTTTTTCTTTTTGGTCGTGAAGAAAATACGGCGACAACATTGGAGTTTGTTGGTTTTTCAAAAGATAGGGCAATAAAAAAATTAAAAATATAAATGAAAAATGTCTCTACTTTTTTATTTTTATTAAACATAGATGGCTTTAAATAGCCAACTTGAGAGCATAATATGCAGAAAAATCTGCATAATAAGAATTCAAAAAACCTAAAATATCTTAACAAACCTAAAAAAACATCTAACATAAATTTGAATTCAAAAATTAGATTTATCCTAAAACTAAGTAACTTATTATGCTAAAATTTGTACTGCAGTAACTGAAAGCAACAAAAATTCAACACTCCTCATTTGCTTCAATTGCTGCAATATAAAAAGTTGCTCCTCCTCAACTCTTGCTTCTGTTGTTTCTGCTTGAAGATTGTTTTGAGCATCGCTGAAATTGCACATGTTTGTAGTGCAGTTCTTTTTCTTCTTTTCTTCTTTTTCGTCTTATGGTTTTGTGCATAAAAAAGACCCTTAGTGACCTTGTCTTATCTGAAATCTCTTTTGAAAATATTTGATTCTGGACAATTATAGGAATTTCAGGGATTGCTCGTAAGGATTATTCCATTACAAAATTCAACAAATAATAGGTTTTAAGATATGAAAGCCAATATTATGAAGCTCCAAGTGGAAATTCAGCAACTGGCTAAAGTAGCAGAAGTATCTTGGAGACAAAAATCTCGATGCTTGTGGATCAAAGAAGGAGATAGAAACACCAAATTCTTTCAGAAGGTGGCCAATTCCAACAGAAGAACTAATTATATTGATGGACTCAAAGTTGGGGATGACATCACTGAAGATAAAGATCTAATCATGGGTGAGATTTTAGAATTTTATCAACAGCTCTACACGAAGAATGAAAGCCGGAGACCTACTACAAGACTGGAGGATGTAGCAACATTAAATGGGGAAGAGAAAGTATGGCTGTCAAGGCCATTTGAAGAGGCAGAGGTTTTGGCTGT